CCCCAAAACCCCAAAACCCCAAAACCCCAAAACCCCAAAAAAATGTACAGAGGTATTTAATATTTTAAATTACAGCCACATATGTTCTTTTTTAAGAGGAGTAAAGGAGAGCCACGGATGGGGTTCATGAAAAAGACTATCTTAACAGCAGGTCTCTTGGGTTTTGGTGCGACTAAAACATTACAGTATTCATCAGAAAACTATCCTGAAGAAACTCATCGATATTTTTGGAGCAAAATAGTGAATAAATATTATAATGGATCTCCAAAGAATTGAACTCATAAAAATTTTGATAAAGTTCATTACTTAGCAAGCAAAATTATGAAGTATAGGCTATTCCCGAAAGTCCAGGTTGATGATCTCGAGGTGGATCTTTCTATCAAATATGGGGAATACACTTTCAAAAATCCATTAGGAAGTGCTGCTGGAATAGACAAAGCATCTGTAATGATAGATGGCCTTAGCAATCTTGGATTTGGATTTGTAGAAGTCGGGGATCTCTCTCTTGAACCAGAAAAGTGGACTGAAAAGCCAGCATATATTGACTGATATCAAAAAGGAATAATTGAAAGAAAAAGTGTTATCTGGAAGAACGTTTATTACAATTCTGGCATTCAAGTAGCAGTCGCTAATATGTGGAATCGCCAGAATAAAATATTGGATAAGAAGTTCACCCCAATAAGCGATACTTTAGTTGGACTCACCATTGTTCCTTCAAAGACAACAATTGACAGTATTCCTTACTTAATAAAATCAGATTATGAACAATGAATTGAAGTTATAGTCGAGTTTTCCGACTACATCGTAATCAACATCACAGAAAGAGATAAGAGTAAGAGGAAAGTCGCTGCTTTGCTTAGAGAAGAAAATGAACTTAGGAAGTTGATTAAAATGGTCAGGAATAAACTAATAATGACATTGGGTAAAGTAGCTGCTCTTGAATATTCTAAAATTGACCCACAATCTTCTCAGAATGAGGTAATTGATATCAGCCAAGAGGTCAGGAAGGTCATCTACAGAAACTCCTTGATAAGCAAGAACAATGTCCCTTTGATATTTTTGAAAGTAGATAGCTACCTTTCCGAAGAAGAGTACAAAACTATTGCCAAAATCTGTGAGGAAGAACATGTTGATGGCATTGTTGTTGGATCAACAGTTCCAATAAACGTTGGTCTTAAGGACAAGTCCCAGCGGATATTCAAGGAAGAGGTTGCATTAGGCGGGGCTGGAGGAGAAATTACACAGAAATACTCAAATTCAGCTCTCAAGACTTTATATACACTCACGAAGGGTAATAAACTGTTAATATCCAATGGAGGTATATCTACCGGTAAAGATATGTATGAGCGGATGAGTAACGGTGCAAACCTCGTCCAGATATACTCAGCATTGTTTTTAAGAGGCCCTTATGCTGCGAAATACATTTTAGAGGAATTCAGTCAGATTTTGAAGAACAATAACGAAACTGCCCAGTCAATCATTGGCAAGAATAGCAAAGTGTAAATTCTATATTATTATCATCATTTGGGGTTTTGGGGTTTTGGGGTTTTGGGGTTTTGGGGTTTTGGGG